TAAAACAGGTGCTTCAGCCAATTTAATTTTCAGGGTGTCAAAGGCTTTTTGATACTCTGGGGTCCAAACAACTTTAACTGGCGTTCATTTTTTAGTTCATTCAGTAGCAATAGTGCTGAAATTTGGTATGAAGACCCAAAGAAAAATTGAACTTTTTTCATTTTCAGGAATAGGCCATTTTTGAACACGTTTAACTTTAGCCTGCAGAGGCTCTATTTCTTCAGTGCCCACTAGATGGCCCAGGTAGGTAACTTTTCCCCTTACCTGCTGACACTTTGAAGCTTTAGCAGTCAAACCAGCTTCCTTCAATCTGTGAAGCACAATCTCAAGATGAGCCAAATGACTATCAAAATCATCACTAAAAATAGCCAGAACAAGTGGTGAAACCCAAAGTAAAAAAAAAAACAAACCCAAATACAAAATGAAATAATACAGTTATAAAGTCACAAAATTAAGAAGCAAACAGTCTTAAATAAGTTAAATCTCAAGGCTACACATGCTGGCTGCACTTCACGGAAAACTCCCATCTTTTGGCTCTGCAACCAGATATCTAACATCTGAGCAAAGGTGTTATATATTTGTGGCTGTGCATGCTAGTCAACTGGTTCAATACCACATTCTGCACTAGCTGCAGCTTCTGGACCAAAGCTGATGTAGCCTCATGTAGCACATGCTACAATAATTAAAATGACTACAACCACTGCATGAGTCAGAGTCACTATGACCAGGCTGTCTCTGTCCAGTAACAACTTTAACTGGTGCAGTGTCTGGATGAGATCCAAAGGCTTATCTACTCCAATATTCTGTTCACAAAGCGGGCACTTCATTGTCTATGGTGATTCCTGTCTCCACTTTTCTCCAGCATGTGATAAATGGCAATCAAAGATGGAAAAAGGCATTCCTTGTCAATTAAGCCTATACAACGAATGTAGAAGCACACTCAGACTACAAGCCTGCTCCTGCAGAGACAGTGCAACTCTGCTTCAAACAAGCAACCTATCTACGTAGGTCCCAAAATGAAAGAACCAAGACACCCACTCACACATTAGCACAACATGGATGATGGTAGTCAAGCTTCCTCTGTGCAGAAAGGGTAGTGACTAGGACATTACCCTGAGCTGATGAAAGGTGGTGCAAACCAATAAGGAGACCAGAATCTCCACTGTCAAAGATGCACCTGTGATGCATACCCAAATGAGAATCCTGACCTTTTGTTGTGAGGATAAAACTGAAGGGGTAGCTTGTTACCGGAGTACATGCATGAACTCACACATGGTCAGAGATGCACCCAGAAGCGATCTCCAAGCAATCGTGTGCGTCTTGGCACAGATTGGGCTGAGTATATCACACTCACACTGAGCTATAAGGGAAATTTTACTGAACCACCAGAATTAAAATACCCACAATGGCTATATTGGGAAATAACAAAGATTAAACAATAAAGTATATAATGAATATGGGAAAATATAGGCTCAATCAAAAGAAGCAAACTCATGTGGCAAGGAGAGTTCTGAAATTCGGGCTACACAATGGTGCCTGAGCAGAGATGCTATATGGATGAGAAGGGTAAAGAAACCACACCCAGAAAGACATGGGGTGTGTGTGGATTATGGAGCCATCAATGTGTGGGGAAAACACTGCCAAAAGATATACTAGGGGTGACAAACATTACATCTTAGTCTCATTTTGGGCAGTGTGGGCGGCATATAAATTAAATAAATAAATAATAATAATAATTAGACAGCCTTGGAGGTAGGGAGTGTCGGGATTCCAGCTGGCAGGGATCAAGCAGAGGAGGGTTCGGACAGAGACACAGCAAGAAATTTCAGCCCTGAAGATTCACTTCAGAACTCTCCACAAGAATACTCAATATATTCTCGAAGGCTTTCACGGCCTCTGGGATCTTGATGGGTGTCGTTAACTGCACACAAAAGACCAGCTAACGGCACCTATCAATCACAGTGACAGACAAAAAAACACGCTGATCACCATAATCACCCATCTCCTGAAAAGGACGAAAGCTGAACCCACAGCTATATTCAACTATCCAAACAACCTGCACCAGAGCACAGACAGAGTTCTGACTCCTGTCTTCTGAAGATGCCGGCCACAGAGACTGGCAAAATGTTAGGAAGAACCACCTCCAGAACACGGCCAACAACCATCAATACTCAATATGGCTACTGTATGTCTTTTTTTACCTGGCTTTGGCCAAGCTGACTAAAGTGATCTATCTCTTTGTTAGTCACATGTCCTGTTTTGCCTTGATTGTTAACTTCCCACCAGGCTTTATTTATTTGTATCAGAGTGTTGCACAATTTAAAATTACGGACATATATGAAATAAAGGTAAGATTTTTTTAAAAATAGCCATTCTCAACCATTTGCTAGATCTTCTTTTGTAAAAGCGGTGGGGCATAAATTGCACACATGTAAGTGCTGCATTGATTGAACTTTTCCAAAGTCACTGAAAATTTGTCCTTTATCCAACTTGTCTCATTTTACCAACCTGGCTAATCCTGGGACAATGGACATGGAATAGGCTTTTTGACTAAAGAGGCAGAAGATGGGCAGACAATTCTAGGATGCTTGCTTTCCCAGACCTCAGACAAATCCTTTTAGCATAAAAACAAAATAAGTTGATATAATCATCTAGTCTCTCTACAGGAGGGCTGTGCCTCTTTTCCTGACTTATCCTTGGTCTGACAAGTTTTTCAGTTACAATGGTCTGTAGAGTGCAAATACATGTCTTAGCACGAGTGAGATTCTACAGGGGTGTTGTACAAACCTAGCCAGTTTGGTAACAAGCTGGATGCGCCATATATGTTGTCCTAAGTTCTTTGGAAAGAAGAGCAAGTTATACATGGAAACAGAATGATGGAAATTACCTTCTAACAACAATAATTCCTTTATTACTACAACACATTGCAGGATGGAGTCATGCCACTGAAAAATGCTTCCAAGACTGGGCTCTCTCAAATTAAACCCTAAGTTTTTTTAAAAAGAAAAATAAATAATGGCACTCAAATCACTAACCCAGGAATGCTGTTAAGAAACATCTACCTAGATCAGATCAGTCCACCAAACTCATCTTCATATACTGTCAAAACTGGAATTGTATGAAACAGATAGCAAAATTCAACCCTCAGTGCTCACTGGAAGGACAGATCCTGAAGCTAAGGCTCCAATACTTTGGCCATCATGAGAAGAGAAGACTCCCTGGAAAAGACCCTGATGTTGGGAAAGTGTGAAGGCAAGAGGAGAAGGGGATGACAGCAGATGAGATGGATAGACAGTGTCATCAAAGCTACCAACATGAATTTGACCAAACTCTGGGAGGCAGTGGAAGACAGGAGGGCCTGGCATGCTCTGGTCCATGGGGTCACGAAGAGTCAGACATGACTTAACAACTAAACAACAACAAATCATATATTAAACCATGTGTCTGGCAAATCATAGGTTTATAGGTAAGACCTTTCATATGTTAATGTACTGCAATCCACATTCACTCCAGCCAACATAGCCAACAGAGAGGGATGTTGACAACTAGAATCCAACATCTGGAAGGTCCCACATTCCTAGAGTTTTACTTAGTGCTCTGCAAGCTTATCCCTGCCTACTGTGCAGGAAATCCCAGATATGTCAATGGGAATGCAAGGATATACTGTACAGGAGTACCCCTGAATCCTAAACATAAATCCCATGAGCTCAGTGGGACTAACGTGGGAAAACATGAGGACAATTCAAAATTTGCACTGTCCACATACACTGATCAGCCACATTAAAACCACCTGCCTAATATTGTGTATGCCCCCCTCATGCTGCCCAAACAGCTCTGATGCTTTGAGGCACGGACTCCACAAGACCTCTGGTATCTGGCACTAAGACATTAGCAGCAGATCCTTTAAGTCCTGTAAATTGCAAGGTGGGGCCTCCATGGATCAGATCTGGTGTTCCAGCACATCCCATAAAGGCTGAATTGGATTGAGATCTGGCAAATTTGGAGGCCAAGACAACACCTTGAACTATCTGTCATGTTCTTCAACCCATTCCTAAATAATTTTTGCAGTGTGGCAGGGTGCATTATTCTGCTGAAAGAAGCCACTATCATCAGGGAACACCATTGCCACATGCTTTGCAACAATCTCTAGGTAGGTGGTATGTCAAAGCCACATGAATGCCAGGACTCAAGGTTTCCCAGCAGAACACTGCCCATAACACTGCCTCTGCAGGCCAGCCTTCTTTCCACAATACATCCTGTTGTCATCTCTTCCCCAGGTAAATGGCACACACTACCATTCACCTGATTTAAAAGAAAACATGATTTATCTGACCAGGCAACCTTCCTCCATTGCTCCATTGCCCAGGTCTAATGCTCACACTCCCACTGCAGGTGCTTTCAGTGGCAGATAGTGGTCATCGTTGGCACTCTGACAGGTGTGTGGCTATGAGCCCCATATACGGCAAACTGCAATGAATAGTGTCGTTCTAACACCTTTCTATCATGGTCAGCATTAAGATTGTCAGCAATTTGAGCTACAATAGCTCTTCTGTGTGATCGAACCAGAGAGCGTGGGCACTTGCAACTCTGATGCTGGTTCACCAGTTGTCCTTCCTTGCACCACTTTGGTAGGTATACTGGGAACACCATACATGACTTGGTGCTTTGGAGTTGCTCTGACCCAGATGCCTAGCCATCACTACTTGGCCCTTGATAAAGTCATTCAGATCTTTTCACTTGTCCCCATCTCCTGCTTCCAACACATGAAATTCAGCAACTGACTATTTGCTTGCTGCCTAATACATCCCACCACTTGACAGGTGCCATTGTACTATTTATTTATTTATTTATTTATTTATTTATTTATTTATTTAATATCCCGCCTATCTGGCCTTGCGACCACTCTAGGCGGCTTCCAAATAAATAAAAACAACATATAAATATAATCAAATAGAAGAATTTTAGATCAATATAATGAACGCTATTAACTTCACCTGTCCGTGGTTTTTAATGCTGTGGCTAATCAATGTAAAGCCAGCCAAAAACGGCACAATGCTGGAATATTCATCCCTTTCCTCAAACTATTAACTAACTCTTACATCGGGATTACGTAATGCTCCCATCTGCGCCTGCTCTTGCTGACGGTCACGGCGCTTGCGCTTTACCTCCATCCGGTAGACCCTTTCTGGAGGATTTTCCCAGAATGCCTGTGGGTCGCGGCGGTGAGGCCGGCCTGCAGTGTGTCGTTGGCAAGTGGCGCCGCGCGCTACCCGAGCCCTTCGCGTCTTTCCTCCGCCGCGAAAGGTGATTGGGTAGCGCCGCCGCGCGGCCTTTCTCCCTACTGAAGAAAAAAAAGAAAAGAAGGGACGGTTATTTTGCTGTTCGACTACAGTTGCCGCGAAGGGACATGTGACCCCCAGTGGAGAGTGGGAGGGGGGAGCGAGCTGCGAGCTGAACTCGCGGCGGAGGCGGCCTGTTCGTGCTGCTTCATTTTCTTGCCGTCGCTGCGCGCGAGGCCCTCCAGTCTGGCGGTTTCGGACGTGCCACGGCGGCGGCGGTGAGGAAGGCCGCGGCGTTTATGGTGAGGCCGCGCTAAGGGACCTTGTGGCCGGACTTGCCTCGTCCTCTTGTGTCCGCTTTGGAGGCGCCGCCGCCAGGTAAGTCGGCTTCGACGTACATGAGGAAGGAGACTATTGTTAAGAAGTTAAAAGTGGCCGGTGTCTCTTCTGTGGGTGTGCGTGAGGGGGGGAGAGGGAAAAGGGGGGAGACAAAGAGGGAGAAGGCGCAGGAAATTCTCCCGGAAATTTCCGTCCCCGACGCCCTTCCTCGCGTAGACAGCCCGGCATCTTCGCTTCCGACTCGGCGAGGCCTTGTGTGGAGAAACAGGCCCCTGGATCACCTGCCTGCGTCCCGACTCCTGTGGGAGAGGCCGCGAATGGAAGTCGGATCCTCTCCCGCCCCCCTTGGAAGCTCGCAAAGCCTCTAAGAAGGGGCTGCAGGCGCTGGTAATACGATCGCTTCGCTTCGGCGGAAGGAGTGAAAGTTTCTCCCCGAGACGAGGGAGCCTGAGACAAAGTTGCAAACAGAAACCAATTCCCGGCAGGGGAGAGGGGGGGGTTCAGCCCAAGTTGATGGCCTGGCCTTGTGATATGCAAGTCGAAGCTGTACCGCCCCTATAGATGCCAGCGAAACATTTACGTTATTCCGAGCTTTCTTTTGTTTAGTTTAGCTGGTGCATACAGACGTATTTGTCGTCTGGAGGCTCCGATTTTTTTTTATGGTTCTCTTTTATGAATCTTCGGCTTCTGGTAATGGGATCTCTGCAGAGCCCCGAGGAGGAGAAATTTATGAGGCGATTTAACATACAGTAGATGTAAATCTGGGGAGAGAAATATTGTGCCTGCGATTTTACAAATAAGGACCCTTTATTTGAAAATGTGGCATGATGTCTAGAGCACCGGTTCTTAACTTTTGATCCATGGAAGGAGGGGGACTGTTAAATTAGGGTGGCATATATGTGTGTGATTATTTACATTTTTCTGGAGGGAGTAGTCCATAGCTTTCATCAGATGGTCAGAGGAGTCTGATTGACCAAAGATTACGAATCATTGTCCTAGCCTTGACAAGGCATTTGGAAAGTTCAGCAAAGACTACTGTACATTTCTTTTGTACAGGAGAGCTGTTGAGTGGTATTTGTGGTATTTCAAAAATTTTACAATTCACAAACTCAAACTGGGAATAAGAAAAATGATATGTCCAGTTGTTGTTGAATCTAAAATAGACTTAAACAAAACTAACAGGAAACCTTCACTTTCTCTTTCATGGGACAAAATAAATTTTTCTTCCATATACTGTATGAGAACTGCTAAAAGTCAGACATGAAAGTTGTTTGAAACAGACTCAGTGCAGATTTCCTGATAAATCTTACAGATTTTATATTCTAAGAGCTCTTTTTATAATTAACTTGACTAGGCAAGTAATGATAATTAAGATGTTCTCACGTATTTTGTTGTAGTTAATGGTGGCAACTTGTATGGCTTGTGCATTTAGGCATATGCCACAGGTTGTAGTTTTATGGTCATAAATAACCAGACCAGAACATTGTAGTTCACACAGTTGAGTTGTACTGGCATTCTTCAGCTTTGGCCATGTCCATTTCAAATAGTGGTGTGGCAGAGTTGACTTTTTTTTTTTACCTTTTCAGGATAAAGTTTTAATTTATTATTTTGCCTGTCTAGGGTGTTTTGTAAAAAGTGAAGGATATTTATGCACAACTCAAGACTAGAATTTAAGATTTAGGTGTTATTAATTGTCACTATTCCTGTTACTGTGGCCAACGTCCTATTACCTTGCATAATTCCATAAGAACAATTATATAGGCACTGTGTCCTGTTTTTCTGGCTATCCATCATGTGCCCAGTGTTCCCTTGTCATACAAACAGAGATGTGATTGGTTGTGGGCCTGGGCATGCAGTCCGCAATGTGTGTGTGTGGCAGGAATGGAACCACTCTTATACAGCTGCACTTTTTCAGTAGGATTTTGCCATGATGGCTGGGAACAGTTCAAGATGATGAGAGTTTCTTTGTTTTTGGCATACTTGCACACATTTGCTTTTATAGTTGCATTACATTACCTAAAACCTAGAGTCTTGAGTTTACTGTATTTAACTGCTTAATGTGAATCATTGAAAAGAGGAGGGAATGACTATCTGGAAAATATGTTGGGTGTTATTTTGCAGTGCAGGTGTATCTGATTAGAAACAGCTAGTGGGAGGTATCAGTTACTTGCTGAGATTCAAATAAAAATTCTTCCTCTTGCTCATATAAAATACACATAATTTATAATTATTATTATTATTTGTTGTTGTTGGAAAGCGGATACAGTAAGGATAGGAAAAGTGTATAATAGAATTCCTCGAAGTTTGTGTAGGAAATGTTGTTGGTGATAATGTAGTTAGGAAAGGTGCATCATTCTTTTTGAATACCAGTATTTTCTTAAGCTTAATAGCTCTTGCTGGATATGTATCATTCAGTGCTGAATTATTGTTTTAGGGCATATATACTGTACTGCATACCATTGTGTCTACTGGATGTCCTGTTCTGTGATGCCCTGGAGAGAGAATAGAGAGCCTTGGAAGGGTGTCTAGCCTGGCTGGGTAATGATGCACAAGAATTTAGCTATTGCATTGCCACATGGTGGGGTCAGTCAATTTTTATGCACATCAGAATTAGGTGGAACTTCTCCTTTTGCTCTATTTTCAGAGGGTTCTTCATATTTCTCCCTCACCCTGTGTCTGCTAAGTAACTGGTCTGGCAGCAGTCAGGTTGTTAGGAAGGCAGATTCTGCCTCCGATATGTTGCTGGCATCTGTATAAGTAGTAGCCAGAAAAGGTGTTGTTATGCACAATCAAGTCACTTCTGACTCATGGCTACCCTATGAAAGAGCAATATTTTATCCTCAAATGCCCTGCTCAGCTCTTGTAAACTTAGCTTGTGGATTCCTTGAGGCAGTCAGGCCATCTCATGTTTTGTTCTTCCTCTTTTCCTGCTCCTTCAGCTTTTCCCAGCAGTATTCCCCCCCCCCCCGAGAATCCTGCCTTCTCATGATCTGCCCAAAATAGGACAGCCTCAGTTTCAGCATTTTTGCCTCCAGCGATAGTTCTGGCTTGATTTGATTTAAAATCCACTTGTTCGTCTTTCTGGCAGTCCAGGATATCTGCAAAGCTATCCTCCAGCACCATATTGAAAACAAATCATTTCCCCCCACTGCCTCTCAGCTTTCTTAACTGTCTAGCCTTCACATACCAGAAAAGCTATGATTATTTAACTCCATTGGTTGTTTTAACATTTTTCCTGCACTTTTATGCCACTGTCCCCATTCATTCTGCAGACACAAAGCATTCTTGTATACTTCAGTCAAAAACTATGGGAGGGGATTTGCAGTGATGATTTGGCAGGTGAGCAGTTTGGCCTCTTATTCTTGATGTTATTTGTGTGGGGGGGTAAAATTACTTAGAGGGCACTTTTGTGGCAGAAGTGGCAGGCAGGAGAAGGGTTCAGAAACCCTTTTTCACCCACCAGTTTTTCCATGTATTAATACTATAAAGGAAATAGAAACTTGGATTTTTTATTATGCATAATTGATATAGTCAGAGCTGTTATTGAGGTTGATTATATGTCTGCCACAGATATCATTTATTCTTTTTCCTGTTGTCCTTTTCCTATTGGACTCAAGCTCCCAGCACCCCAAACTAGACTGGCAATGTCAGGGCTATTCTGAAGAGTTGCAGGTTGCTATTCCTGAAATGCACAACACTATGGAGAAGATTTTGACATGTCAAGATCTTCTGCAGGCAACGATCACTATGTCAAAAATAGACTTGCACAATTAAGTAAATGACAATATCATTTCACTGTGGGCTTTGAAGTACCTTTACTGTTTTTCTTATGAATACTTTTTTTTTCCCTTATGAATAGGGATGGAACTTTTGGATTTTTTTTTTACTCTTGACTCCCAGAATTTACCATGCATTCTCCAAGCAGAATTCTGGGGGATGCACCTCACGAACAGAGGTCTAGTAGAGATTTTCCTACCCCCGTGATATCTCTGGGAGCCTAGTGTTCATTTCAAAACCAAGGAAACTATCCTACTAATGCATCAGTATAACTAACTTGGTTTTATATCGAGGGCAAGGGAATGTGTGGCTCCCCAGATATTGTTTTACCAAAAACTGTTTTAATATAACCAATGGTGATAGGGGTTTCAGTTCAACAAATTAGTTGATTGTGAGAAAAGGGTTACTCAACTGTAGAGTTTTTTAAATAACATCTTTTAGCTGGTGTTTGAGGATTTGTAGGAAAATTCAGAAAGTCAACACTATATGATGTTTGAGCATTTTCTCTTTTCTTGTGTTCTTTTATGTATTGGTTGATATATACAGTGCTACATATGGAATATTCTGTGTGCAAGAAGTATGCCTTTTGACTTAGCAGCAGTAACATTACCACTGCCTCTCCTTTCACCCACCAAAAAAAACTCATTAGAGTATTTTGAGGATACCAGCCGGAATAAAAACATCATAATGCTTTATATTTATTCTAATTTACGTCTTTATATATTTTTTCCTCCATGTTTGGCTTTGGATGATTTTCAAAATACAAATTTTTAAAATTTTCAGTAGTATACAATAACCTCATCTGGTGAAGGCATTTGGAAATAGAATTTGGTATATGTTTTTGCCAGTTATACCTTCAGGTTCACTTTGCTTCCTCCCAAGCTGTTCTGTAGGATCTAGGACATTTTTTTCAGGAGGTGGCAGGTAGTGTTGGGTAATTTGGAAGCTGTGGAAAAACTCATCGTTTTTTTTGGGGGGGGGAGATTGGAAGATTGAAGGAGGTTGAAATAACGTGCAGAAATTTCATATATTTTGTGCTGCTGCTTTTGCAACAAAGAGATTATTTGATAGGTAAAATTGTTATTTGACATATTTATGAAATTTACTGAAGAGTTCTTTGAAAGTTTGCTTATTCTCAGTTACATGTATATAAACATTTATCCCTAAAAGATAAGTAAACATTTCTACTGCTGAGTTAAATAAATTTTTCCCAGATAAATAATGTGCATAGGCTTGCAGTCCTTGCTTGAGACAAGCAGAATCGTCAATAGGCCTGGGAGAGTGCCAGACTGCAGCAACCTGTTGGAGAAACTGGGGGAAAGTCCTGATGGAGCTGCTGTTAGGAGACTCTATTTTTCTTTTAATACATCCATTGAACAGATACTACAATTCACCAGAAATTTCCCTAGCCAAAAAGTCCAAATCCTTATAGGAGCTTTATGAGGCATGTTCTTCTCTGCAATCATTGCAAAGATAATGAATGATTGTACTTACTGAGCTTCATGCGAATTACAAGGGGTTGTGGAATTAATAGTCTTCTGAGAGCCACCATGTACAGAGCATAATGAATGGAGAAACTATCAGAGAGGAATGTGTATATTGAAACTCCTCTGAGGATTTTGATTTTTTGACTGCAGGTGGCAGAATTTTGGCCGGGGAAATTCCTTGTGGTAGTTGTAGTGGGGAAAAATAAACCCCATGCCAAATTTAAAGCAGGAAATGGCAAGAACCATTTCCCTAGTTTAATTCATAGGGGGATCTTATTTTGTAACTGGATTGTTGCTCCCAGATACACAGGTTCAGCTTCATAAAAACAGCAGTACAGTATTGGAAACAGTTGAAACAGATAAGAATTATTCTCAGGCCAATGGAAGGAAAATGCCCAGTGCTATCTAAATGTGCACCAGTATATCACAAAGGTAACTAACTCTCTTTCCCAAGTGGGAAAGTTTCTACTTCTTGCATTATTACAAGGTCTCTAGTGAAGATTGATGCTCGGGAGCTGTTCATAGTTTAGAATGATAATACCAAAGTACTGAATTGTACTCAAGTTGTCAGTGGATATATAGCAATGTGGTAGTGTGCCAGAAAATACCATTTGGCTTTGATCAGAACTTTCACTGATCCATTTCACATTACATGTTGTGCAAAAAAACAAAAACAAAACAAAATAATGTGGCCACTTAAAAGCTAAAAATGCATCATAGCATGAGCTTGTGTGGGTTATAACCAGTCAGGTAATATTCCAACTTTAATGTAAACAAAGCTTGCATTATCATGGCCAGTTCTATCTCTCTCAAGGAACAGATGTAATTGGCACCTGAGCCTCAAATAATGAATGCTACCTAGAAAGTTTTGGGTGGTATTCCACATCCCTTCTTATCTGCAAGCAACCTGCTGCCCTGTTCACAGCCACTTCTTTGGAATTTATGAGCAAATCCAGGATCATTCCCAAACCATGCACCTGTTTTTGTTCCTGGCTTTCTGCTGGAGTGAAACCAGGAATCCTGCTGACTCCTGCATCTTGCTCAAATACTGTTTCAGTTTATTCACCCACATCTAGGCTGTAACTGATTTCTGGAGTCTACGGCTTCTCTTCTTAGCATGTCTTCACATTATTTATATCAACCAGGCATTCCTTGTTGCTGATTAAAGGCTAACACTTATGGATCACTTGCAGATAAGCAGGGATAAGGAATGTCATCGCCAAATTTCTAGGTAGCAGGTATCTCTCTGCCGTGGTTATGCACCATCTGTGGAAACATGACAAAGGGTACAGGAAGCTGGGAGGAGCTTAATGTCATAACCTTTATCAATTTGTTCCAGTCTATCGATTCTTATACATAGGCTTGGTAAATTACACTGTGTGCACTAATCTCGATGCCCATCTGTTAGATAATGGATTAGAGTTGGAATTGCCTGTAAAGGGGAAGTTGAAACTTTAAAAAAGTCTTTAGTAGTTGTCTTTATACAGAAAAACACTTTGTGGAAAATAGACAAGTATTTACACTTTGAGAAGACTTAGGCCCCATTTCTGTGCTAGCTTTCTTATAAAGCTTTCATTGTTCACATTTCCTTTTTGAATTTTTCCTAGTGTTCCTTCACTTCAGACTATGTGGAGTGGTACTATACTCTGGTTTTGTGAATTGTAAAGTTACAATACAATGTAAGAAGAATAAAATCACTTGGAGAATTTTAGATGGTATATAATTTTATATGCTTGATATACTTCCTCAAGTTGTTTAATTCATAACATTGATTTTTTTCATCTTACATTTTAAATTCTTGGTATTGCAAATGTAAAATTTCTAGGAACTTTACTACTACATCTTGTATTATAATCTGGTACTGAGTTATTGGGAGGAATTTAATCACCCATGTCAATATTTTTCAGGTTAAGTAGAAATGAAGAATAAAAAGCAATGTGTACAGCATGCTGATGATGACAAGCATGAAGAAACAGGAGGTAAATAAAATATAAATAGATAAATAGATATTTTATAGCATATTTAAAGTAGCAGGTGAGCACTGAGGAAGTATTTGACAATCCAGACCTATGCTTTGTTTAATATTGGGGAAGTGTTCTTTAAAACTGTGGGTTTTAGCTGGTTAAAAATATGCTCACCAGTCCCACTATTCTAAATAAAATGGCAGTGATCTGGATTTAATTGCTTCTGCCAACCTTGGGAGTTTACACTTGAAAAGAGCTATCTGCATCAGTTTATTATTGTCTTGGGTGAGAACTCTTTGTATTCTTTTATTTCTGTTCGATTTAAAACCCTAGTACTGTAAAATAAAGTCCTCTTGCTTTCATTGGAGAGGTGATAGTTTAAAAAGTGTTAGTGTTCTTGCTGATATGCAAAACATTCTGGAGTTGATAAACATTCTAAAGAAACTGACTATCAATTACCAGATTGTAAATAAATATTTCTGAAACATTCTGGAATTGCTTATCTCTACATATTTGTGATAACAGTTTGTGAACTCTTGATAACATACTTCAAGGATACAGCTGCCTTTATTGTAGTTTCACTCTGTTTGAGTTTTAATAGGACGCTGACAAATTGTAAAACAATATTTATGCTGCTTGTTACTAGATATCCATTGGAATAGTCTTGTTTTGTTTTAATTATTGCTATAATATTGCACTGATGTTTATGAACTAGATCGGTGATTTCCAACCTAGGGTTCCCAAATGTTCTAGGACTAAATCTCCCAGAATCCTTTACCAGCAGCTGTGCTAGCCAATGTATTGATAGTAGCTTCATTGAGCTACTAATAATGAGCATATTGTTTAATATTGATTGCTGACCAACCTTGAGAACACTGAATTGCATTTCTGAGAAAAATCCTGGCTTGTTTCACTAAGTATTCAGAATTCACTTTTTGACTCACAGAGTTGAACAAAATCTTGCATATGACAATATTCATATGACACAATGTGAAATGCCATTGATGTGATGGTTATTACTTCAGCCATTCATGGGTTCTGCATTTTATAACAGGTGAAGAGAACAAAGAAAATGGTTCCTGCTTTTCTAATGATTTATTAGATGAAGATGAAAGATGTCCCATCTGTCTAAACTGTCTGACAGAGCAGGAAGTTGGTTTTCCTGAAAATTGCAACCATGTCTTCTGTGTGACTTGCATCCTCAGATGGGCTGAAGTAAGTAGATGGTTGCCTGAATTTTGAAGACTCAACTCATAAGAGTAATGTGTTTTCCTTATTATGACTGGTATCCAGTGAATACTGTGATTAGTTCCTCATGCCCATGTATGCTTTGGGCTGTTATTTCTTAAACACCAATCTTGTCACAAATTGCTCCTTAAATTTATACAGAATTTTAAAAGCAATATATAATATGGCACATGACGTTGGACATGATAAATCCCACTTGACTTGCCCAAAGTAATGTTTTGAGTCCTGAACCCAGTGCAGATAATTCATAGTTTAGTAGAATCATCACATCATTATGTTTGATCAATGGCAGAATGTATTTTATTTATTAAAAGTATGCCTTGTCCAATTTTGCTGCTGTAGTAGTTGATAATAAATTATGTAGGTGTCCTTCTCCCTGCAGTTTGTAAGGTATTAGTCATACTTTGGTTCTCAATTCCTAGATTCTGCTTTGCTTTCTAGGGAAGTCTGTTATGTAATCATCCTTGCCTCTGGCATATTTGTTTGCAACTTTGTAACATCGTTTTGCTATTGCACCTGCAGTATACTTCTTTCTCTGCCATTGCAACAAAGAAACATGAATGTTTTCCAGCTTCGTGGTAAACAATCTAGCTAATAGAAGACTTCTAAAGCAGGGGTCCCCAACCCCTGGTCCGCAACCTGGTGCCAGTTCGTGGGCTTCCTGGAACTGGGTCGAGGACACAAATCTCCGCTCCCCAGCATGCACGCATGGTGGGGGTGTTGTGCCCACAGGTGGGCATGTTGTGCCTGCGGGTGGGTGTGTTGCACCCACAACTGAGCGCACGAGCATGACATGCCCACCTGCGAGTGTGTGGGTGCCCCTGCCCCCCCATGCACAGAGACTGCACCCCCCAAAACCAGTCTGTGATCCCAAAAAGGTTGGGGACCGCTGTTCTAAAGAACTTCATAAAATTATGTATGTCAGTCCTCATGACAAATAGTATCCTGGTCCACTCTTATTTAGCCCATTAGAAATAACTTAGAACTTGGAAGTAGTTTTCTGGGAGCAGTTCAAGAAAGTAGTATTTTCAGGTTTGGAGTAACAGTACTATTTTTTTAAAGGTACAGTGGTGCCTCAACTTACAAAATTAATCCATATCAGAATGGTGTCCATAACTCAAAATTTTTGTAAGTCGAAGCACCATTTCCCATTGGAATGCATTGAAAACCGATTAATCCCTTCCGGCTGAAGAAAAAAGTCACAAAAAATAAAAATAAAACACTGCAAGCCCCTGGGGCTGCAAAAAACAAAACAAATCCAAAAATAAACATAAATATAACCCCACCAGCCCAATCCCACCCTGCAAAAGCCATGAAAACAGTTTAAAAAAAACAGAAAGCAGCACCGTACCTCCACCACCGCTACCGCTGCCAGGAGGCCTCCCGGACTCCAGCCGCCGCTGCCGGGCCGGGACTCCAGCCACTGCCGCAGGGCCTGGCTGCCGCTGCTACTGAGCCAGGGCTCCAGTCGCCGCTACCAGAACTCGGCTCCTACCGCCTCTGCGGGGTCTTCCTGAGCTTCCAAAGCACCGGCACCCGGTGCGGCTGTTGGGGCAGCTTTGGAAGCGCGGGAAGCCGAAAGCTGCCCTGACTGCCGCGCCAGGTGCTGGCTTCCCGTGCTTCCAAAGCCACCCCGACTGCCACACCGGTGCCAGCTTCCCGGGCTTCCAAAGCACTAGCATCCGGCGCAGTGGTCAGGGCGGCTTTGGAAGCCTAGGAGACTGAGCCTCCCTTTTCCTAACCGTTGGGGCAAAGAAGCAGCCTCTTCGCCACCAACGGTTTGAATTTCCTGCCCTTTTCTCCTGCCTTTTTGTGTTCGTAAGTGGAAGCTGTGGCCACAAGTCGATTAAGTCGGGACGTCCGTAAGTCGAGGCACCACTATACTAACTCCTAACAAAAAATACAATTTTTTCCAATGTGCTAGTCTGCAATTAGTAATTACTCTCTTTCTTGAGATTGTCTCAAATATGTGAAGATTATCTCAATTTTCTGAGACCATTAACATGTATTTTTAACTTCTTTCTTAAACACTGTCATGCATGCACCTTAAAAGTAGAAGGGGAAAATGGCACAACAAACACTGTGCCTGCCAGCATAGTATTCTATTTAGCCTGTGCTATTGCTATTACATTTGCATGTTGTTCTTGCTTGCTCCACAGATTATCTGGTTGGCTAAAGGCTGCAACTTGCCCATGAAGTCTGGATTTATTTGCTTTGAAACTTAAACAAGTTTGAATGTTAGCAAAATATTTATATATACATGTTTGTTGAAAAGTAAAAGCTAGCAAATTGCAACTTAATTGGGGGAAAACGTTATTACTGTAACATTATAAATATCTCTTAAAAATTAACCAGTGACTAGTATCCTGTTACACAGCTGCAGTGACACAGTGGGAGTAATGTCATTGTTAGCAGAAGACTGCAACTAATTAAAGGCATCCTTTTTTCATTTTTACAGTACACAAAAATTTGTCTCATTATGTGTGAGCCATATGTACCCCAGATTTTTTTAAAAAGCGATGTCCTTTATGAGTGGAAATTTGCTGCTGGTGATGGCATCATTTCTGTTGCGCAAATAAAACTGCTCAACAGGATTCTAGCCAATCTATTGTTAACTTGCAGTCTTGCATGTCACCTTTTGCCCTTTCTGATTAATCACTAAGTACTGAATAGATTTATTTAATAAAATAGTTAGCTCCTGGAGTCCTGATTTAACTGAAAGCATAAGGAGGGATACATGTACAAGATTTGCTTCAATTTACGGTTTAAGAAACCAAGAGAAGACAACAAAATAGTTTTATTCTTTTTGCTGTGACATGATGAGACTGAATACCATCTTTTTTTCAGAATAAGGCTTCATGTCCAGTTGACCGTAAACAGTTTCAAGCTGTATATAAACTAAATGCATTAGAAGACTGTATAAAGGTAGGTTTTGAACTTTTTCAGTTTCTTATTAGTTTATAATGTTCCCTACAGTATAGATTTTCAGTTGTGGAAAGAGGTGCAGATATAGTTTGAATAGAAGTTCAGTCTGCTTTCTAATAGTAGTTTTGAAAACTTCTCCATGCATGTGGATAAAAGGCTGGATTGTCCAAATAGTTAGTCACGGTGACTCCCATATCTGATTACTTTGATTTTGAAAGTGGGGATCCTGCTTCCTTCTCCAGATTTGGCAGCTTAAACATCTCATTTTGGTAAATCTTTTTCACTTGAGGTAATCTGCTGCAGGGTTGGGAAGGCTGAGTTTTTTGTTTTTATGTTTGCTTGTTTTAGTTTCTATCTTTGAAAGCCAAGAAAGCAGCAACAGGGAGTTTGTTTCCCTGTTCCCTCCTATAAAGAAAAGTTTGTACTGTAACTTAGTTGCCCTGGGATTGCAGAGCCAAAAGAAACCATAATTGTGCCTCAGACAGTGGATTGTGCTGTGTTGGAGGGAGATGAATATTAATTTTTTTAAAATAAATCATGTATACATTTAAGGCATTTTGCATGCAAAGAAAGAAGCAGGATATAACTCCAGAACTAACAACTTCTAAAATTATAAATTGCTTAGCATTTTAAAGTAATATAGACTAGTTCAATGTCCTTCTGATATTTTGGACTTTTTTATTTTTTTATTATTAATTAACACAAACAGACATACAAAACAAACACAAAACACATAATGGGGGAGAATATTTTCCATATATCCATCTAACATACAATATTGACTGCATGTACCATATTCCCCTACTTAACATCTTTAGGCCAAATCCATTTGATATATAATTCTGACTACATGACCTCCAATAATTAACATACATAAATTGTCAATATATAAACTTAAACCTGTATTGATCTTATATTCAAGCCACTCTTAATTGCATAAACCAACTATAGTTCATGAATTACTTAATATCCTCATGTTTCTGGCTTATCATCAGTACCTTCTAAACAATTGTGCTCAGAATATGTATATGTAATCTAGTTTAGGTATTACCTGTACTTATCAACCATTTAAGACATTCAGCAAGTACCTTTCCCATTTTCGTTATATTTCTTTGCTCCACGTGTGAACCAGGGATATAAAATCTCTATAGGTTCTTTCACCTGCATATCCTTCTTTCCAATACTTATCATCAACAATTCTAATTTCATCATAAAAGTAGCTTAACCACACACAACTCCCCACACAGAAGCTCTAGGCCCGCTTAATACATTTCTGAGGGATCCCCACTTTTACAGGTAAGAAGAACATTGTACATCTAATGTTGCCTATATAATCAATATAGTAATTCACTCATATTTAAGCTCTACACATATATCATAAACACCAAAGCATCTATTATTATCATTATTCACTAACCTTTGTAAAATTTATAGCTACATATGTTTATCTACCCTTTAGCTTCCCATCTTGGACTTTAACTCCCATCAATCCTGGCTAACATGGCCAGTAATGGAGCATTATGGAAGTTGAAGTACAACGCCACAGAAAATGGCTGGCTATTACTAAATATGTTGTCCAGCATTAATTCGCTGTTAAAAAGCTTAAAGGAGATTTTAGAAGCTCAAAAATAGAAAGAATAAAGACATAAAAATTAACACATGGTTTCCAGACCACATTATAACTACAAATCAGTATTTGGTGCTGGTCTAGTTAGCCCCCTCTATGTGCTGCTGGGTGTATGGTGTTGTGCAAATTCAGTTTATAGAAAGTCTGCTTGCAAGAAGTGAAGACAGGTAGCAACACAGATAAAGCAAAAGATAGGAAATTTAGTTGAATTATGCAGTTCCCTTTATCATTTTTCAGGATTAATTTTTACTTCCTTGTGATAAACAAGGAAAATATTAAGAGCTTGTTAGTAACTGTTGTAGAACCTTCATATGGTAAAGAAAGTTCTCCTCTGTTATATTTGTGTGAAAGAAAGAAAAAAATCAAGATTCATGACTAATTCAAATAAATTGATTGTCACAAAAGATACCGATCTCTGGAGTGCCAAGGTGCTGCAAATGCTTGTTGCCTCCATCTTTGTTGCCATACTTGAAGAAACACCAAGATAGATTTATTTTTAAAAGACAGTGTTTCAGTTCAAGCATATACTATTGAGCAAACTTTTGTGTGGTATTTCTTTTCCTATTCTCAATGAATGAGAACATATTTATTTGTTCTCACCTTGGCAGAAATTTGCTTTAGAATAACATGGGTGACAAGCTATGAAAATCATTATTGGCTGTACATATTATGTATCAAATAGATGAATTATGTTGCAAATTTGATAATGTAACTTAATTCTAGTCCATATACAGTATATTGGATCAAATGATTTTGAAAATGAAGTGCTAATTACAACAACATTCCTTGCAGGTTCAGATAAAGCAACAAGTAAGCGAAAAAGATGACCTACTTTGCTGTAATGAGAGCAAGTATTGCTGCATGAATATGAAAAACTGTACAAGGTTAGCATTGTGTGTTGAAAAAACACTTTTACAATATACTAACAGGTTGAATTTCAGATTGGAAATATTGTAAAGCTTTTAAACTGCTTTCACATATAGGATTGAAATGCAATTTTTTTACAGAACCATTCCTTGCTTTTTTTTGTCATGTCAAGTTCAATGCATAAATATTTAACTGATACTTAATTTCTAAGAGGAATTGATAGGTTTTATACATTTAAAGTCTGTTCAGAGGAGAACATTTATAATACCAGATACGATAGCTGTTATTTAAATATGAAAAAATATTCTTGTTCTTCTGTGAAATAAGGAATATGGTGTACTATACGAGAAAGCTAAACACATATCCACATCATTCAAATGCCTAGAGTAACCTCAGTGTTAAGTTCTTCACAGCCTAAATTTTAAAGATCTTTAAAGTATTTATATAGTTTGTTTTCATAATGGGGCCCAGGACTATAAGTAGCACAAGCAGAAATCACTTTATTGTAAGTGATTGATTTGTATGTGTTTGCAGAAAACAGAACAATGCAGACAAAGGATCTTTCCCAGAAAGCTCTTGTAAAGGCTGTAACCAAAAACACAGTAAGTTTGTATATTTTTGGTCACTGTCTTGGCCTCCTATTAAAATTTTTTAAATTTGTTGCTGGTACTCAGTATACTTATTATTTGCAAACCTGACATGCACTGTCTTGAACACCATCATAAAAAACTTTGAAGCCTCATTATGTTTTGAGAGACAGGAGCTACACTTATAAAAATGCAGGGAAATAAGTTCTGATTATCACAGAAGTCTTCTCTCTCTCTGTGTACAGTTTTGTATAATATCGATGTATTGGAAATTGCCTGCAGACAGGTAGCCTGTACTTGCCAGTGATTTTCAAGTCAAAACCGTGTGTCTTTCAAAGCTTGTATGTTTTTCTGCTTTGCATCTTTGAAGTAATAACATACTTAGTAAATAGTTTGCTTAAAATGTTCTTAAATTGCTGAGTAATTGTCTTAATGCTCTAATGCACCAGACTAAAGTGAGCTTTTCTGTTTTTTATAATAGATTCTTCACATGAGAAAGAAGATAAACATTCTGTGAAAAAGAATAAGGTTTGCTCAGCTATTTTATATTTAGAGATAGTAATCACTTCTAGTAATTTCCTTCTAGAATATTGCAGTTTTAAAATGTGTGCTGGATTTGTACATTCTGTTTCCCTTCATACGCTTTAAACCACTGGTTCAGTGTTCTGCTTAATTTCAAACTAGCCTTTGGAAATGTGTACTCTGGTTTTCTTGAAAGTTAGCTTCAATATTCAGTTTTTAAAATCTCGGGTATTCTGAAGAAGAGGGCTGACAAAAACATGGAAGAAATATAAACTGCCTTCATTTGAAATTAAGTGCTAGTAAATGAAAGATGCACACAGACACTGCCAAAAAGGTGTTCCTTATTTATGCAAAATTGCAGTTAGCTAACAAGTTGGGGAGAAATAAATTCCATATTTTTTGTTAAAAATTTTCTTCTGTAACAATATGTCATTTCATAAAATAAAATAGTGGTGTTACTAATGAATACAGGTAGGTTACATTATGTAACTGGAACTGGTGCAGTACATCCATGTCAAGTAAATATTTGAATGAACATTCCTTAGGTGAATGTAAATCTCAAACATTTTTGTTCACAGCTTTAAGCATGATAAAATTACGGTGTTAAATTTTAAGCACTTACATTTGCTCTAACCTTTGACTCCAGAGCTAAACATGCATAGGAGTGAAGGAGCTTCATTGAAGTCAGTGAGACTTCTGAATCTCTGTGAACATGTGTAGGATTGTGCTGTTAAAATCTAAACCATATAAGAGTAGAGTATGTGCTGTTGAGTTATATTTTGAAATATTTAAAAGTAGTCTAATAAAATAATTTCAGAGTAAAGCTTGGAATGTGTTTGGACATGACTGTTGAATAACACGAAGTGCCCTTGAATGTATTTCCTTTCCTAAATCAAATACTTTACTTTAGACTGGGAGAGTGGGTCAGATATCTGTGTAGTACAGAAAAACAATATGATGTAATTTTTAAGTTCTGTCCATTAGATGTAAGTCCAACATTCTAAATCAGATACCCACCAATTTAGAGCAGTGAGAAAAACTCTGATGCAAACTTTCCCAGAAAACCCATATCATTATACTGAAAGTATACCTCTTTATAATGATAGGTTTTTCACTATTGGTAGGAAAAAATTACTCTGGGCACACCAGAGTTCTTAAAGATCCTTTGAATGGTTTGTCAGAGTTAAGGGCATGTCAGTAATTTTTTAAAATTTTTTATTTTGGGGCTGGTTCCTGTGTTGTATATTTAAACTTCTTTTTTTTTTCTTTTTCTTTTTTGAGATGCCAGATTATATCAATAGTGGATAGAGTAACTAATATGGATTACTTCTTTTTTTCTCCTGGAAAGTGATGTCAGCTGAATATATAATCCTGTACCTGACTGTTTGGAAGTCAGTCCCTCTGCATTCCACAAGGGTTTACTTTTGTAGTATGTTTTCTTATTATATATTTTAAAGTGAATTTCTAAAAACAAGTCTAACATCAGTAAAGTGAAAAAAAAATCAGTGAGAATGTAGGAGCAAAGGAAACAGAGTCTTTTATTACTTTCATAGTGCTTAGACTGAATTGGCATAGATGGGCCAAGCAAACCTACATTCCTTGCATTGGACAAACACATATGCAAACTCAGGCTACACTGCATTTTTCTGAGGAAATATCTGTCAATCAGGACTTAGGCTGCAGCTCATTAAAGCTTATATCACATAATAGTGCTGCAAAACTTTATTTCTCAATTGTTCAGTACTGTTTTTTATGTTTTGTTTGTGTCCAGAAATACACTTGAATGCAGACCAGCACTGGATATTTTTCTCTGGCAGTGACTTTTCACAGTCTTAGGCAAAGCCTGCTACCTTTCCTTTTTAATTGAAGATTCAAATTGGGACATTGTTTGTACAAAGCATGTGTTATGCCAGTGAGTTGTGGTCTTCCCATCACTCATTCAAGACCTAGTACTAAAAGCAAACCTTAAGATACTCAGTTTAAAAATGTGAAAAATATATGGATATATGGAGGTCTGTATTCTCAGTGTAGTCTAGCTGGCAAGTGTGTTTAGCAGTTTCATGACTTAACTATAATGAATATGCCTTATGTATCTGATGCACTTGTAAGAGCAGACAATTTTCTTCTTTGGGTGTTACAGGTAAGATAAGTATGCTGTTGTGCTAAATTCTTTTCTTTAAATTTTATAGCCCAGAAGACAGACCTGCTCAGACAGATTATTCAGAAGCAGCTTCTGTGATAGATTTTCTTTTAATAGTACTTTCTCTGGAAAATCTACTAATCACCAAAATGAGGGGTTAGTATTAATCTGTTTTACATAGACTTTTAAATGCCTCTCTCTCTCCCTCCCTCTCTCTCTCTCTCCCTCTCTCTCTCTCTCTCTCTCTCTCTCTCTCTCTCTCTCTCTCACACACACACACACACACACACTCACACACACAGAGAGAGAGAGAGAGAGAGAGAGAGAGAGTTTCTGTTCTCCTCAATAAGCCACCCTGCTCCATGTTGTAGGATCTATTTGCAACCCAATTCCTGAATAGAGATGGGAGCTTCGTATTCGTCTCCCTCAGTAAACGAATACAAAGCTCGCCACCGCAGGTAGCCAGTCTGATTAGACCCTGTCCCCTGAACCAGGTGTTGACTTACCACTTGCGGCGTGCATGGCCTTTGTGCTGTGCCAATCGCAGCGGTAGCCAGTCTAGGGCTTCCCTGCCTCCCTGTGCTGCTGACCAAACTGACAAGGGGGCAGGATGACAAGCCTCTCTGTTCAGCTGCTGATTGGTCAGCAACGTAGGGATGTGGGGAAGCCCCAGCCAAGCTACTTCGGTAATTGGCTCAGCATAAAGGATGATGGTTGTGCACTGTAAGCGGTAAGTGTACATCGGGTTTTGGAGGGGTAAGATCCAGTTGGACTGCCGCCTGTGCTGGTGAGCTTCATAGTTATCTCCCCTGGGCAACGTACCCTCTAATTTTCAGTCCCACTGGGCGGGGCTCTGCTTCTCACGCTGCTTCGCCTCTGCATGTGTGCACAACTTCACCCCCCTGTGTGCTGGATTCTGTCAGAACCGGAACCTAAAGCAATTGCTGCACAGAGGAGAAAGACAGCTGTGTGGAGGGAAGTCAAGTTGTGCACGCGTGTGCTTGTGCGCACCTAGCTTAGTGGGAACCTTGCCCCCAGGAGATGAGTATGAAGCTCCCATCTCTATTCCTGAATATCATCTTAGGAAATACTCTGCAGTGTTTTTATGAATTTGGAAGATTTTCAGTGCAGTGTTTTGATGGTTTTTGCATCTGTTCATTTAAGAACTTTACTTACAGGTGCCACAGTTCTCTGATCTGCCTGTTTCTTGTAATTCATCTTAATGCACACATGTAACATGCTCTCCCTTGGTTACCCTAACTATAGAAGATTATTATTGTTCAAATTGTTCATTTCAGATTTAATTTATGTCATAAAGTCTAGGTGGCCTAAGTAAACCAGTGGCTATATTGATGAAAATGAGGCTCAGACTCACAGATTCTCAACTTTTATGATTCAGCCAGAGGAGGAGATTAGAAGCTTACACATCTGTTTTAGATATACTGTACTACTGTTAGCCCATATTGTCTGAATCTACACAAGCTGTGCTACACTGCAAGAGAGAATAAGTTACATATGCATAATTCTGGGTAAATTCTATGAAGCAGACAGATTTGGGGCACCATGAATACATCAGTTCCAAAAATTCAGATCAGCAAGAAGATACAAGCTGTTTCAACATTTCATAAGGGAAAGTGCTGGAGGCAAAACAGGAAGTTAGCATACAAGACTAAGGTTAACATTCATTCCTGTAACACTAAAGTTGCATTTGAATGAAACTTAACATTTATGCTTCCACTGTGTGCATTGGGTTCATCTTACATTACTATTAAGAGTTAATAAGAGTATATTTATTTATTTATTTTTATTTATTTATTGTATTTATACCCCGCCTATCTAGTCATTTCGACCACTCAAGTGTTCTGAATACTAGTTACTATTACATGGAAGTGTGTTATTGTACTTCTGTATTATAACTGATTATTAAAGTTGAGTATATAATGATAATTGTTAAATTGTTGCATATAAAATTAAAGACATTAATTTATTTTCAAGCCTGTTTTAAAAATTATATTCCAGTGTGGAGATCAGCAACATTGACACAATTATTGGACACAAGAGGAGAGAACTGGAGCTGTCATGTTCTGTACTAGCTAAAGTGGCAAGGTGAGACAACCAAACAATTAACAGCGTGTTGCAGTGGGGGCGGGGGTACAAATAACAGGTCTTTTGAGGTGAGCAGTTAAAATTATGCTACCTAACACTATCTGAAAACAAGCAACAAATATTTAATTAGCCTTTCCTGCCATCCTTTGTTGTTTTTAATTAATAGAGATTTGCATACAAACATGTAGAAAATAAAATGTTTTAAGTTTTTTTTTTGTATAAATATCAGATACATTGGTCAAACCTGAAAGTCATACTAAACACAGTGCCTATGAATAGGAGGAGCTGCAACAAGCCTTGGACTTACATATTCCCCCATATTTTATTTTTATTTGTTTCATTTATATACTGCCCCGTTAGTGCACTACTCTGGATAGCTGACAGCTAAGGAAAAGAACAAGTGCAGACACACAAACAATAACTTAAGCAATCAGAAGTAAAAATATGTAAAAACAAAACCAGAAAGTAAAGTGTTTCATAATAGAGGGCAATGGTGAAAAAAAATCACATGAGACTGCTATCAAATACATCTTGAAAGAGTACTGTTTATAGTAACTTCTTAAAAGCAGGCAGGGAGGGGGCCAGAGGCAGCTCAACCAGTAGTCGATTCCAAAAAGTGGGTGCCACAGCCAAGAAGGCCTGACTTCTTGTTGATGTTTTCCTGGTCTCTCTTGGCATTGCCACACACAAAGGAGCACAGTATAGGTGGACTTGGTGGTGTAGGTATATGTTCTTGGGGAAAGTCACTCCACCAAGAAATGGGGTCTTAAACTGGCAAGTTGTGCATAAGCACCAAAACCTTGAACTTGACCTGGTAGCCAGTGCAGATGGGCCCGGACTGGGGTGCTGTGATCAAATTTTCCTGCCACCAGCCTGACAGCCACATTTTGCATCTGCAGCAATCTCCAGATCAACCTAAAGGGAACACATAGAGAGTGTTACAGTAGTTGATCCTGGAGATCACTAGTGCATGCTGAACATTATTTCTCACATCTGGAGCACCAAACTTCAGTTAACACTGTAGTTAATTTCAAACAAATGCCAAACCTGTTTATTCTGAAGTTTCCTTTTTGAAAACCCACCATATTGGCAAGAATCTTATTACTGATATACACCAGTGTAAGTCAAATGGCATAAATTTTGGCAACAAGCTGCACAGCTGAAAGAGTCTGTGTTTGATGTACTTGTTGTGCACTAGCAACTGGTGCATAGCGAGGAATACATGCATTGGCTCTTTAACTAATGGTGGTTTGCCACAGGGGTTTGTAAAAGCAGACATAAATAATACAGTTTTGACCAGTTAATATTAGGTGGTATTCCAGGTCTGGATAACTTGGCAATATGTGAGTGAGGAAAAGCAAAAATGAATGCTTGCAGACTCTCACTAAGGGAGGAAAAGTATGATCGCTGCTATCTTGCTATTGCAAGTATGTATCACAAATATGTATGTGACAGGCATGTGGTATGATCATTGAATAAGTAGAACCTTGATTAGCACATTTGTACTCTGTTTTTACGTTGTCAAAGGAATCTTTAAAATATTGGAATCGCCAAATGTGTTCACAACTAAGGCTGGCTATAACTATTTTTTTCAGACACAGAATATGTAAGCATTCCCTTAAGAAATGTTTAAGAGACTAATAAAGTGCTGGGAAACAGATTTATAGACCGATTGAATGAGAACTGAGTAATGTTTTTATTTGAGGAAGATAAAAATCTTTTTTTAGAGATATCAAAGTTCTGTAAACCAATAGGGACTTTTGCCTGGAAAACAAACTGTAAATCCAAGAAGACAATCATTCAGCTGTGACTGAGCACTTCAGTATTACTTGTGAAATAGTTGCAGAGCAGTTGTATATGGAACTATGTAATCATATTTTCTGTTGAATTCTTCTTGTAATTCTTATAATATGGGTTAACTTTTACAGAATCTCTACCATGTGCTGTGAAAGAGAAATGACATCCTGTCTTCAGGTTTCCACTGTTATGGTGGGAACTGTTTTGTCAATAAATACTGCATCCTTGGAAAACTTTGGTAAATTTTTTTTGTAAGTTTTATTTATAGTTTATATAAAGCAATGTCTAACAATAAAATATTAACATTCCTTTATGTTAAAAGATTAGAGGATTATGATTGACATGCCTGGGGCTATAGCTATATCCTGTTGAAAAATATATTTTAAAACATTACACAGCAAGGTAAAATTCTTAGATGTGAAATGTCTAAACATTGTTTTGATATGATGTTTTATTATAATGAAGTCTAAGGAGGAAAGAGTTTGCAGCCTTTGAAGTAGAATCTGAACTAACAAAGTTCTAATCTTTTTTTCTTTTACGGCAGGAAAGAGATCTAGTGATAAATATTGCACTAGAGGGTTTAATGTTTCTATATGTTGTGGCGAAACAAGCCCTAAACTAACATTCTGAATGTACCTATATCAGGTTGTCTTTGTTTGGAGACTATCTAGCTGGACAAATTGATCCATGCAGGCCTGAGTAACCATATACCATATGGTTACCATATACTTCTCTTTAGTGTGTGTGTGTGTATAAACTTATATTAATGGTGGAATCTTGCATAATGTAAGCAAAGTCATATGTTTTGGTTCATTCCTTTCCAGTAGTAAAGAGCCCTGCTGGGGTTCTTGTGGGTGCATGTGTGCATCCAAGCTTGTATCCCCTGGAATCGACACAGGAGTTAGTTAGTTAGTTAGTTAGTTAGTTAGTTAGTTAGTTAGTTAGTTAGTTAGTTAGTTAGTTAGTTAGTTAGTTAGTTAGTTAGTTAGTTAGTTAGTTAGTTAGTTAGTTAGTTAGTTAGTTAGTTAGTTAGTTAGTTAGTTAGTTAGTTAGTTAGTTAGTTAGTTAGTTAGTTAGTTAGTTAGTTAGTTAGTTAGTTAGTTAGTTAGTTAGTTAGTTAGTTAGTTAGTTAGTTATCTGTTACTGTTTGGCATTTACTCTGAAGGCCTTGGGTTTTATCTCAGCAGGTTGATGTTGAAGTGTACCGCAAAAACTTCCAACTTTGACTAAAATCATGTTGCATAGTGTAAGCAGTGCATCCAGACCATAACTTTCCCAGTCTTTATCACAGTACATATCTAATCTATCCTTTTTGGTCTATAACATTTTATTAATTGATAATAGGAGTAGAGAAAAATTCTGAAGGCTTCTCATTTGTGTGGTGTAAAATCAAAGGCATAAGCTTTTGTACATATTTGGGTTTCATTCCATTTGGTAGTGAGGACTTCATGGAAGATGTAGGCTTTGAGCTAGGGTTCAGAGGATGGAGACATGGGAGCAAGGAGGGACACTCTAGCCGCCTAGAGTGGTCGAAATGACTAGATAGGCGGGGTATAAATACAATAAATAAATAAATAAATAAATAAATAAATAAATAAATAAATAAATAAATAAATAAATAAATAAATAAATAAATAAATAAATTGGTTATATACCCAAGGCAGCACAGCACCTTTCACATGTGAAAGAGGCATCCGCTTAATGGGACAGATATGTGCTTCTGTTCATTCTGAAACTTTGGGCATACTGTTGGCATTATCCCAGGTGCCTACACATATTTGTAGTGATCAAGCAGCAATGGTACAAATTCAATAAATAAATAAAAATAAATAAATGGCTGTCTACACTCAGACTTTCACATATTCACTGCTGACAGTCTCTTCCAGTACAGTGATATCCACAATGTTGATGAAGCTGTGTTCCTGATAAGCACATGATTCACATTTCAAGGGGCTTCAGGGGAACAGCTGTCAGTAATAGTCAAGCCATCTGAAGTGTAGTTTTTGCTTTTAAAAGAATAAAGTCAGTGTAAGTTCTTAGTTGACATGCGTCAAATACATGTCCTAGGATCAGCTAATCACATGTGGGTATTTCTAAAGTACTATTTTTGTTACTGCTATACATTGGTTCTTTTTCTTTTAATATTAGGGTCTTCAGAAAATGGACACATTGTCACATATGTCCAGGAAGGGGAGGAAAAAAAGCAAACTTCTGGTACCACTGGCACAAGAGGCACAAGAAGGAAGATTTCAGATACCACTCCTAGAAGAAGGTCTGCTCGAAATGTTAAAACAGAAACTTTGACACAGTCTCAGAATTCACCAAAACCAAGCAATTCTGGGTGTGAGGCCAGTGGTGATGGTAACTCTTTTGTAAATGCTTCTAGTGCAGAATCGGAGAAATCACCTCCAAAACGGAAGGCTAAAAGAGGAGTTAAGCAGCAGGAACCTGTAGCTAAAAAGAGACTCAGAAGTTCAGGACGTTATGGAAAAACTTCTAGCAATGTAGTAGAAGTTGAAGAATTGAATGAGGCAGAAATAACTCCGCTACTTGACAAAAGTAGTTTACCTGATAGTGAAAATAGCACCACTTCTTTTAGTCAGCAAAATGATACAGAAACTCAGTCTGCTAATGGTACTGAAGACTCCACAGACTTCGGAAAATCTAAGGAGGAGCATATGAAAGAGCCTGATGAAGAGGAGGACACTGTAGGTATTATAGACACTGATCCATGTTCTCAAGATCCTCCTTTACTCACCCTAGAGAGAGAGTTTGTTTCCTGCATTCAAGATCCTCCTTTGCTAACTCTAGAGGGAGACTGTGAAAAATCTGATGTGAAAAGCAGCACAGAGTCGGAAAATAGTTTGTATTATAAAAATGCTGTTGAGCAAGTCCACCCAATGTTAAGTATTTCTAGAGAAGAATTGGGTAATGATTCAGTAATTGTTACTCATCACCCTAAGGAATTAAATAGTCCTACAAATGAAATGCCAGGAAACATTGAACCAATGGCAATAATAGATGGTCCTTTTAACAGTCCTGGGACTGAATTACTTGAGAAATCAAAATGTATATCAATAGCAGATTATATTTCATCTGCTTCTGAAAATGATTTGCTGAGGGAAGGAGAATCTTTGTCGGTAGAAGACAAACAGTTGTCCAGTCCTGGAAAGAAATTCCTAGAAGAACTAGACTCTGTAGCAGTAGCAGATGAGTCAGTGATTGGTTCTAGAAATGAATTGTTGAAGGAACAAGAATTTCCAGCAATAGATAAGATGCTGGAGAGGCCTGAAAATGAAATGTCAGTGGGATGTCATTCTTTTGAGAATAAATTGTCAGAAGGGATAGAATTTGAGGAGTCATTAGATAATACCAGAAGCAAATTATGTGCATATCCAGTCTCATTAGAAACCGACAGTTCCAAAACTGAAGAAAAGGAAGAAAATGTTCATTTAGATAATGAAAATCCAAAAGGGATTGGTTTATTAATACACATCTCTTCAGAGGATAAGAAATCTGATGAATCTTTAGAAAAGGTTATAGAAGAATCTACATCTAATATGTCTTCAAAGATAGATACTCAAGAAATCAAATGTTTTAGTGAAGATGACAATGAGGTAGTAGCTATGGAATGTGACTCTTTTAGCAGTGATCAGAATGACTCTCGAATACATCAGCCATTAACAGTTGACAGTACAGAGCAAGAGGCAAGCTCCTTACAACATGGAAATACTGAAAATTCTGCACCTTTTCTAAGTTTTCCTGACAATAAAGAAGAAATAGACTGTTCCACTGAACTTAAAAAAGATAAAAAACCTCGAATTAGACGATCAAGGTTCCATTCTCCATCTACAACTTGGTCACCTACCAGAGGAGAGGGCAAAAGATCTCAATCACCATCTCCCAAGAGGGAGATTGTGAGTGAAAGCAGAATGTCTCGTTCTCCCAAAAAAGATACTTTCAAAGAAGAGCAAAGATCTCTGTCTCAGTCTCCAAAAGGAGAACCTCTTGCAGAAGAGGGCCCATCTCTACCCAGTTCTCCAAAAAATGATCCTGTGAGAGAAAGAAGGCGAACTCCATCTGGTTCTCCAAACAGGGATCCTCGTAGAGAAGGAAGGAGGGCTTATAGAACACAGGCTAAGGAATTGTCTCCAAAATATAAATGTAGATCTCAAAGCAGGGATAGAGAGAGTGATAAAGAAGAACCAAGAAGAGACCATGAGAGAGAGAGAAGCAGAAGGAGATGGTCTCAATCCCAGTCCAGATCTCGATCTCGATCTAGGTCCAGATCCAGAACAAGAAGTAAGGGCCCATCATTTTCTAGAAATGAAAGGGATGGCTATTCACCTCCCAGGTGGAAAGAGCGGTGGACAAATGACAACTGGAGAAGTCCAAGAGGAAATGATAGATATAAAAGAAATGAACAAGAGAAACAGACTGAGAGTATGAAAAGAGAGCGGGACATTGCAAGCAAAGAGGCTAACCAACAGTGTTCTTCTGATCAGTATCAAAAAGATTATCCAGACTGGGTAATGGAAAGGATAAATTCAGTTCCAGAAACAAGGAACAGAGAGAGGGAAAAATTTAAAAATCAACCATGGGAGGAGAATAGACAAAACAATTCAGGGCCTCCATGGAATAGAAACTTTGGATCAGGTTGGAATTCAAACCGTGGTAGAGGTGGTCGTGGCAGAGGTGGCCGTGGCAGAGGTGGTTTTATGTATGGAGACCAGAATGAGAACCGCTGGCAAACAAGAAAGCCCCACTCAGGGAGTGCAAATAGTTCTGGAAATGAAAGTTCAAGATTTCCAGAGCAGCAGCCTTACAAACGGAAGGCAGAACAAGACTTCTCTTTTGATACACCTGCTGACAGGTCTGGGTGGACATCTGCATCAAGCTGGGCTGTAAGAAAAACGTTACCAGCAGATGTACAGAATTATTATTCAAGAAGAGGAAGAAATTCTTCTAGTCCACAGTCCCCATGGGGAAAACAAGAAGAAGCAGCTCCTGAACAAGGTATGGTTTCCCATGTATGATATTACCTGTTACAGTGTTGGGCTAATGTGAACATTCATTTCATTAAAAAAAAAATCTGGATGCCATATATTTTTGGCTAATTTGCTATTTTGTGAAATTTTCCTGCTTAAGTAGTTAGTTCAAACAGCAAAGTCCTTAAAACTGTGTGATTTTTGCTTTTCTGTATATTTGTCATTTTGCTTCCTAATCAGTGTTGGTTCAAACCTGGATTTTATGTTGTTAAAATCCCTGTTTTCATTCCTTGCTTCTCTGTGCAGAGAATAACACAGAGTTCCATGGTCCTTTTTACTTGGAGAACACCTTTAACATCTTCAGCTTCCATTTGGTGATAACAACGATAGCTCTTTCCCACCCCAATTGCTTTCCCAATGGAATCTTGGCACAGTCAGAATGGAGATAAGAGTGGAATTTTCCTGGCCAGCTTGTATTAGCCAGTTCGAAGGCAGGATGGGAGAAGTGAGGAATCTCAGCAGTAATAGCAGGATTTCCTGCCTCCAGCTTCTCTTCCCAATTGGGAACACAGTTTGTACATGAGAGAACATCCATGAAGCTGGGAAGGGGATATTTAACAAATTTCCTCCCTTCATTGTATTAGCAGGAGCCTCCAGGGATTCAAAGCATTTTCTTTCATGGAATGGGTATTTTTATGAATAGAAAGGCACCTTTAGATACAGAAACCCTTCTTCTAAAATTTAAGATCAGTATAGAATATTTTTAATATATGTGACTCCCTAGTTCTATCTTTTAACATATATTTCAGATATAAGAATGGGGGTGCATGTGTCAGGGGGACTATTGCACTATTAATAATGTTAATGGTAGCATTCCCTGAATTCTTGCATTATACTTCCATTGGTATCCCACTACTAAATCTTTCTTCCAGCAAATAATGGAGTGAAGATGCTTTATAGATGTCAGTAATTCAAGACAAACAATGGTTAAAAATGAAAAATCAGTGTATGTTCATTTCTGGAGCTGATGTTTAATTTGGTTAATAGTTTACAGATTTAGCTTCGTTGTAGGTATTGAAAGCTTATATTAATACACAAAAATGTCTTTCAGCCAATTGTCACATTGTTCCTGTTTTTTCTTTTATAAACCTTTATTAGCCCTGCTGATCAAATCTGTTAGTGTCAATACAATAATAACATCTGATCCCTTTATAATTGTCTGGTATATTTAGTAGTCTTGGGAAGAGCACCTGATGCTTGAGTGAAAAAGGTTGATATTAGATGCTATGGGTAGACAACCTAGCTTTTGAAAGTTTGTTTTAAATATAGTGATTTATCAAATCTTATTAAAATATTTTCCCACTTTGATAGATCCAAACTTCAAAGACCAAGCCAGCCAACAAGGTGATAGTTCTCAACTACCAATAAATGTGCTGCAGCCTCAGATGAATGTAATGACACCAGTAAATACACAACATCAGCCAATGAGTATTTTCCCATACCCAATGGGTGTTCCTACTCCTATTATGAACATTCAGCACAATCCGTTTAATGTTCCTCCACCGGTTCCAATGCATCTTCATACAGGAGTGCCTCTTGTCCAGGTAGCAGCTTCAACCAATGTATCTCAGGGACCACCTCCACCACCACCTCCTCCTCCTCCATCACAGCAGATTAACTATATTGCGTCCCAACCAGATGGAAAACAGTTGCAGGTATATGTTTCAGTAGGAAATGTGTATTAAAACCTGGTTTGAAAAGCATAGTTTTAAGTAATTTTGTTTTATTTATACTACTGCACCTACAGCTTGAGATTGTGTTAGCAGTTCCTTTCCTTTAATTTAAACCTCCAGTTCTGCTGACTTCTGCCCAAGCTTGGCTGTAATATCACACCTATATGTATGAACTTGTTGGAATCCTATTCTCTTTATATGGAATATTCTGACAATGAATTTATGAATTACAGAAACTGAGTTATGAGTTCATGCACTTCTGTGTACATCTAGAGAATTATGTAGAAATTGTGGTTTTTTGCACTCACTATACATTTAGAACTACTTTTCATATGTAAAACACATGTAGTTTATTAATGTGTATGTGTGTGTTTTTATCTATGGACCTACATGTAGCTCGTTTTTAATTCTGTCTTCGTATAACCAAACAGGTGTTTGTTTTCTGTTGTCTTGCAATATCCTGGCCTCAATACAACTTATTTTTCCTAAACTCTTAGCTTTCATCGTGTTTGGGTTTTGAAGATGTTAATACAGTGGTGCCTCGTTTAGCGACGTTAATTCGTGCAGGAAAAAGTGTTGCTAAACTATTTAATAGCTAAGCGATTTTAAAAAGCCCATAGGAACACATTAAAACGTGTTTAATGTGTTCCTAGGGGCTAAAAACTTACCTGTAAGCGAAAATCCTCCATAGCGGTGGCCATTTTGGGTGCCTCTAAAGCGAGGCAAAACAGCGGTCGCCATTTTGTTTTTCCAGCGGCCATTTTGGAACTGTCGATCAGCTGTTAAAAAATGGGCGCTTTGCCATGATCGCATCCCCGCGATCATCACAAAGCAATTTTTACCCATAGGGGCCATTGCTAAGCGATCGCTCTGGCGATGGCAAAAAGTCCATCGCTAAGTGATTTTGTCGTAAAACGGAGTGATCGCTAAGCAAGGCACCACTGTATTGTCAACAACATGAATGTTCACTAACTAGGTTAATAATGCTGTTGTCACCTTGGAAGCTTATTACCAAGTGCTAATAGTGATGGTCCTTCCATTTGCTCATTCCCACCATCACCATGTGCTAACTCCCATCAGCTATACTATATATAAAAAACCTGTGGTCCCCATACTGTGCTCCTTGTGCCTGAAGCACAAGGATTATAATCCACAAAAACGCAGAGTGAAAATTTGTTAATCTTAAAGGTGCCACAGTGCATTTTACTGTTGTTGTTTTTTTGTTCTCAGTATTGACAACTGCTATAAACCAGAACAAGGTGCCTCTCTTTGCTACTAGGGGAAGTTGCTCAAGGGACTTCTCTGGCTTAGGGGTTTGTGTCATGTAATATCAGGTCAGCATTTAATGTCTTAGACCTCTGCTGCCAGAACCTTAGAATATCTCTGTTTGTTACAAGCAAGAGGAGAAGTCCCCATTTCCTCTCTTATGCCTAGCTCATTACATGCCATTTTTTCCAATAAAATGGTAATCATCAATAGTAATAAATTTAAGATATAAACAACAACAACAACAAAAGGTTGGGATTTTGTTGTGTGCTGCCATAGCAGTATTAGATTCTTGGGCTGTTCTTGTGCAAACAGAAATCACCACAGTATCAGTTTAGCATCTGGCCAGAGCAGTTAAAGACATAGCAGTGAAAAGAAATAAACTGCTCACAACCTGATAAAACCTCTTTTAGCATTAAATCTACTTAAATGCTCAAGGTCCATCTCAATATAAACATCCTTGTCTGCTAGCAGAGGGACAGCAAAGAAGAATCTGCCTTCACAGGGAGTTTCACTGCCTGGCAGTGGCAACTGATAGGACCCTCTTTTGCGCCTCCACCAGATATTCTTCTGGTAGCATCATATTGGCACAGTTATAGTACAGCACATTGTACTAGGCCATATGAGATGTACAGTATCTAAGGCATGTGTCATTATGGCCAGATCAGACATGTCATTATGGCCAGATTAGACATTTCCCCAAATTTGTGCTATTCGTGTACAGTCTTAACTGGGCAAGTGCATCCAGGTTGAATTCAACAGGATACACAAACTGTGGATCTGGCTCATCAGGAGGAATGTATAATCTGATCCAGCACAGGATGAATCCCTGTTTCTTGGTCTGCTCTTCAGCTACCCGGTCTTGCCGGGCTTGCATCTTTTTCATCTGGGTTGAATTTCTATTTGTTCTTTATGTAGTGGTGTCAAAAACCAGTTTAGGATGAGAATAGATTTCTTCAGTTAGATAGAAAGAAGGAATAAGAATTCAGTGCTTTTGAACTTTGGCATACGGTAGTCACAGAATCTCCAAACTCTGGACAGTTACTCGGCACTTCTGCTTATATCTTAAATAGCATGGGGGAACAAGATGAAACGCTGAGGGATACAGTGGGTTAATGACCACAGCACTGAACAAGATTCTTCCAACACCACCTTCAGAAATTGTCTTGCCAAGAAGGAGCAAAGTCAGGGAAGAAGAGTGCCTCTGATTCTCATCCTGGACAAATGTTCCAGGAAGAAGATCATGTTCTATAATATTGAAAGTTGCCAAGAGCTCCCACAAAACCAGTGGATACACTTCCCCTTGATCACATCTGTCAAATTAACCAGAATAGCTGGTATGCCATAATTAGATGTGAAGTAGATTAAGATAATTGTCTCATTGAAAAACTTCTACATCTGGTGAGCTACCATACAATGCAGCATTTTGCCCAATAATGTACAAATGGTGGCTGATAAGTCTCTGGGATGCTGCTGTCCCCTTGTTTACATGGTTGTCGGTCTTCCAACTAGCTGTCACTGATCACTTAGATTTTTCCCTGTCACCATGTCCTGTTTATTCACATCTTTTCAGGCTGGTGCATCCTCACTCTTGTACCAGCTGGTGTATGAGTTATTTTTTCCTTGTCATAATGGAAGTGACTTTAGGTCTCTTATCTGTTACTCTTTCTGCAGACTACTTTCCCCTCAAACTACTCAGAGTAAAATATTGTCCACACAGAAATGATCATAATGTTGAGATGGCTGAGGCTGGGAAAAGGGTAATGATCAGTGCCTGATGTGTAGGATTCAGTGCTGTTTTCATCCTTGCTGATGATATCCTCTCAGAGAAATCCTCCACACCTGTTAGGAACGTCTCCTGGGAACTTACAGGATAGCTCTGTCCAGTGGAAGAACAACCTCTCCGTGACACAGGCTTCTCCATCCATGAACTATAGGGCGTAGTCCACATATGTATGAATCTAACCAGGGTACTTAATGTATTATAAACAACTGGTTAAAATCCCATGCATTGATCTTCTGCATAACTAGGAGTATGCTAATTACTGATTACTTTTTAATACAGGCTATTCCTAGTACTTCCCATGTTGCCAACAACATGAGTACAACACTCTTGCCTACTCCAGCAGCATCTCTGGGAACTATGGAAACAGTCCAGGGACCAAGTTCTGTTATTGCAACATCATCGAGTAGCATCAGATCTAGTGCTGCTGTAAAATTGGCTGAAAGCAAAGTAAACGTAACAGTGGAAGCCAGTGCAGACAGCTCGAAGAAAGACCAGGCAAGTCCAAAACTTCAGAGTGTACATATTTTCGCCTTGCCCAACATGGGAAATGATTATTTGCCATAAAATTGGAAAGTATGGTGCTGTCCATCTTCCCTCGAGATCATCATTTAAGCTTCCTAAAAAGTCGCAGGACGGAGGGAAAGTATTGTGTTGACATAAATCTATTTTTTGTTTCCATATGAAAAATTGATGTACTTATGAACCAAACTTTTGAATAATTTAATTTACTAGCCCACTTGCATGTACCTGCAGTTGGTAGTCATATGTTATCTAAAGAGAAACAAACCCCCCAAGAATTTTAACATTTTTTTCCTGGTTGCTTGGAGATAGCTGTTACTTAGCTTGCACTGTTGCAACAGTCTTGGATTCCCTTAATTTCACTAAAATTATGATGTTTCTAGATTACACCTCTAAATTGTATTGATGTTCATCTTAGTTATTTTAAAGAATATTGGTATATGTGTGCTCTTCTCAATAACATGGGCCTTTTATTTGTCTAGAAACTGCTAATTCAGGAAAAAGCTGCACATGAAGTAAAACTGGCAATTAAGCCTTTTTATCAAAATAAAGACATTTCCAAAGAAGAATATAAAGAGATTGTAAGAAAAGCAGTAGATAAAGTAAGTATTAGTCTATTAATATCATACAATATTTTGTGGTCTGTGTTCTTTTAATAGTGTTACCTTTTTAAAATAGGCAATGATGTGAGGCAAGATGCAAGCTTTGGAGTCTGTAGTCTGCTTCAGATGTGAGGTTCTCATGGGACATGAAAGAAGCAGTTGTAGCTATTTGAGTTACTTCATTACCTCTTTAGCTAGTATTGTAGTAATAGGTTGAAGAGTGTACATTTGTTTTCACAACTATGCTCCTCTCCATTGCCAAGCTGCAACCTTTATAGCTAGTCTGCTTCTTTGTGCTAAAGGTTCTTACTATTAAGATTAGGGATGAATCTGACAGGTTAATCACCTTTTCTACTGGGGATCTAAATACATGCGGTAAAACGTACTCCTCACTAAATAACACAAGAGGCTCATTTCTTGATTGGATGGTTGTTTTTCTCTGGTTTTAGAGGTAATATTAAGTATTAAGTTGCATAAGACTGAATAATACTTTAATGATTGTCCTTCATAATTTTCCTCTAGGTTTGTCATAGCAAGAGTGGGGAAGTGAATTCCGCAAAAGTGGCAAATTTGGTAAAAGCTTATGTGGACAAATACAAACATTCACGGAAGAAAAACCCTGAAGAGATTTCTGTGGAAAGAAAATAAGTTTAGGTTGAAAAATGCCACCAAGATGTCTGCAAAGTGCAATTTTGGCAAGGACTATTAATTAATAATAGTGGTTGAAATCTGATTTTGATAAAATTATTTTTCAATATAGTGTATAATGTTTTGTTATAAATAAATATAGATTAATGCAACTTCTTTATCCTTTTGCAAAAGGATGTGTAAAGAGAAGCTAAAGAATAATGGGAAGTATCCCTCTCATTAAAAATATACAGTTGTTTTGAATGCCACATGTACAGCATTTTGAATCAAATGACAGTGTTTGTCAAAATACGGTGATTTTGACAGAAATGTGTACAATATGTGTAAATCAGTCACAGAACAGATTCATGGCACATTTTTCTTTGACTCCTGCCAGTGCTCACCACCCCCTTTTCAGTCCAAGAAAATTATGTGTTTTGCCTCAGTGTTAAGGTTAAAGTTGTGTGTTCTAAAGCACACTGCATCTGGACAAAAGATCCCTGTAGACAGAAATCTGCAGAACTGAATTTTGTTGCTCAGAAAAAGTGGGTACAGTTTTTTCATTGAACAGCAAATAAAGGCTATGCTGCTGCTTGTTTTGTGACTTTTCAGTTCTTGTTTTGAGTTGTTAAATTAAACCAAGGTTAAGTCTAAAAGGCACAGTGAAGGCAACCGAAACTAGCATTTAATTTACTCTAGTTTGGGGACACTGGCCTTTGGAGCACTCTTGTGAATCTGAAAAGTATTCTATGTTGATTTTTGTATTGTGACATTAATTGCTGAATTCAGTGGTCTCATTTAGTACGATATGCTTCCTTCTTAACTTCCAACACACTGAGAGAAATGGTTTGCCCTGTAGAAGAAGATGATTGTATCATAGCCTTGGTCATATTACTTATGGTGTAATTTTCTCATTTATGAACTAGTGTAAGCAGTTGTCTGTATGAGGCATGTGAAGCAAAAGCAGAATATTCTGCAGCAAGGATTTTATCATGATGAAAGGCTGTATAATCAATTGCCAAGCTCATTCCATTGACCTTACACTAATATAATGCATGAGACCAAGTCTTATCCATGAACTTACATCTGAGTTAATTTGAAAGTATTATAATGTGGGCAGCAGTGAAGGTAGTGTAGTTAGTATGGAATCATTGAGCATATTGCAGTTGTACTCGCAATGTCTTTGTTGGATGTCTACTGATCCTTCCAGGCATAGAGGAGTTATACCTCTCCCCTTACAGAGTAATAAAGAACCAAGGAAGTAAAAGGACCTTGGTTTAATATTCCTCTGAAAGAAAGTGCTACTGTAGCATAATTAATCCTCCCAGTGTTTCATTGCAGTGGTTAGAATGTCTACTGGTATACGGCTTATTTGGATGTTTAAACAAATGAAGCCATTTAGCCATGTTTCCAGAGATCCCACCATTGATGGCAAGATCCACAGAGGCCCAAGGCTGGGAATAAATCAAGAATAATGGAACATGACACTGTTAAAATAGTTAATCCACTTTATAGCTTTGCAAACAATGAACTGCTTGGCTGTAGTTTATGTGCAACTAAAGATGGAGTCTTTTTATGGAATCATTTTAATGTGGGTACAGTATATTTAAGGTCATATCTTACGTTTTAGACCTCTGGAAAAAAATTGTGTTAGACTAGTGGATATTTGAATGATCTTTCATCCTGTATTGACACCTCTTTTTAAAAAGTGTAGCCAGTGATGATGGCAGTTCCATTTAATCACACAATATGTATTTATACAGTACATTCTTAGGTTTTAAAGCTGGGTTTGATTGGTGGAAAAGGCATCCCTTTGCCATAAAATAGACTGCTTAGATGCAGCATCTCCTGATGATTGTAGGATTCAATAGCTGAAATCTTGTTGTTTAGAGGAATAAGCTGCAACTAAAGTAGGCCTGTTGATTCAGTGGAGATTTTGTGAGTCATCCGTAAATTCCGTAGATTCAGTGAGCCTACTCAAGTAGCAGCATACTACATTAAAGCCACCTTGGGTCCTCTTTTCCTATTAAAAAGGTGAGGTAAATATTTTAAATGAATAAGCAACAGAGTTTCAGCCACTATCTGTTTTAATGCCTCTCCGTGCCTCTAAAATGCAAGAATACTCCTTTTCCCTCTTCAATTCAAGCTGTGGCTACTGTGTCTCCACCAAGTTGGAAAAAATCATGCTTGGTTAAATCCTGGTTTGAAGCTCACTGTGGTTAGTATTCAGGATGGTACAGATGTAACAGTAATAGAGTTAGTGGTGAAAAGTGGAAGGTGGAGAATTCAAGTAGGAGAGCTTTCTGCACTGAGCCATGGCTGAGATTGTACCATAATATGTCTCAGGAGGTATTGTTCCTGAGTAATTATATGGTATGAAGCATTAAGATACTTCTATATCCTTGTGAAATGTAGTTAGTGTTTTTGTTCCCATGTTCCCATAGTGTACCAGTGGCAGAGTTTTAAAATGTATTTCCAGTCCTGATAAATAATACTGAAAAATGCGCAGCTAGCGTCTGCTACAAAAATAATTTGTAAACTAAATCACAGCATATATAGCCCTTTAAGTGGTGGATTAAGAAGTGCATTCCTCTAGTACCCCAATATCAAGCTATATTTTACTTCTGTTGGACTAGGCCCTATGTATAGATAAGTACATATTGAGTTTCAGGGAGCATATGTTGCTGGATTAGGTATTAACAGCCTAGTTCTGATTAAAATGTTGGTGTTCTTGAGTATGGAGGATCATTCATTTGTTGAGGACAGACTTGTTGCTTACAGCCTTGCCCATGGTTCACCTGTCAGTACTAAAGTTCCTCTCTTGTTTATTAAGTGTGTACCCACTTTCCTGAAACAGACATATAACTGGATTGCACCTGTTAAATCTTTTTCTGGAAAAAGTGGTAAGACTTGTATCATTAATACATGAGGAGGCATGCACTCTTGAATATATGGGCATTTGTTTGTTTCAGCAGGGCTAAAATCCTATGTTCTGTGTTTGCTTAACATGAGAGCCCTACTGAATTAATGCCACAGGATTTCTAGAATAAGCCTGTATAGAATCAGCCTTAGTGAGTTCTGTACTTTTGTGGCTGTTAACTGAAATCCTGTTAATTTGGTGGTATAGGCATTTTCCAGCAGTTTCAGCCAATCTAACTGAGAAATGTTCACAAATCAGAGCTTCTGTAAATTGTAATTGTGCGCGAGATGTTGGTGCACTGGGTGAGCACTCCTTCCATGTGCATGTGGCTTAAATGTGTCATAATTTTAAAAATGAAAATCAGGAGCACAGTGGCTGTTCTGACTCCAGGCTATAGCGTCTGTAGCATAAGCTTGGAAAAAGTCTACTGAAACATTATTCTAAAGAGTTTTATGTAGTTCAGAATATTTTCTAATAAATTTTTTTGACTAAGCTGGAGGGAGTCTGTCTCTTCTTAACTTGTACTGAATCAGAAAAATGCAAACATCTGTCTGTCCTCGTCTTCTAGTGGTTTATATGCTGGGTGGCCTCCATCTCCGCTAGTAGTAGAATTCAGGAGGCTGGTGTCTCTTAAGTAATATTTTGTGTCTTTCTGTCAGTTGAACAGAAAGAATCCTTTTCTCTAAATGCCTTGGCTTAGGTTCCAATTCCATTCAGATGCATTCAGTTTCTTTGTAACTTCCAGGTGAAATGTTTGTCTCCTGAATATAATATAAATTTGACCTGATCAGGGTCAATGGAAATCCTTTTACACAGAACAAAACAATGAATTTTGAGATGGATATAAATTAAATTAATTGTACTTCATTAAGCCCAGTGATTTCAGTGGTGACGTAAATCATTAGAACATTTTTTGTTGATTGTGGTATAACTTATGAGCTCCTAACAGTCTCGATTCAAACCTTTTGGCTTGTCACTCTGAAGTGCTTCCTTTTAAGTCTACTTCCTCCAAATAAAGAGGGAAATTTTCTGTGGCTCATCTTAGAACTCAAGTTGGAGAAGATCAGAGTACCGAGAGGAAGGTTTACTGATATGGAATACTGATGTTACTGCCTTGTTGGGTGTTTTCTAACACCTTAGCAGGGGGACCACTGCTCTCACAGCCTCCAATCTCTGTTTTTCTTCTTTTTTGATGTTTCATGTTGTACCTGGGTTTTTTTTAATTGTGCTGCGAACTGCTGTGAGTCTTGACCTGTGTTGAGAAGGTAGAACAAATATAAAAGTCAAACAAATTAACTTCTTATTAGACCTGCTTGAAATATATGAGTTCTGAGAGATGAAGAGATGGAATTACTGTATTGATTGACTTTGAAATAAAAAGTTATCACTGGAAAAAATTTAAATTTATTTTACAAACTAGTAATTCATTTTACAAATTTCAGCAACATATGGTTGCAAAGTTGCAGCCTCCTGGCTGCTTCTAGCTGAAATCTTATATTCAGGACAGTGATTATCATTTTAAGGAGGCAGATTTTACTGTCATTGATAGGAAATGTCATTTGACATAAAATCTTGGAACAAACCATGGCTTACAGGTAGATCACACAATTTGTATGCAGAATGTCTCAGATTTAACATCCTGTGTTTCTTCAGGTAGGAGTAGAAAAAATGCCTTCCCCAAACTCCCCAATGCTGAGATGACATCAGACAAAAAGCATGCTCAGCAAGCTTCCCACTGCCAAGTATAATTTTATAAGAAGGTTCCTAAAATACTTTATTCACTTAGATTTATAAAAATGAACTTTGATGTTGATTTTACTTCCTTCCACACTCATTTGTAAAATTATACATTAAACATAATCTTTAAAATGAAGAAAAAAAAGGAATGATACTCACTGTTCTTTTTAAACATGTAAATGAATGTACGATACATGGTTTCCTATGTTTGAAGCAATATTTGCTATGTTCAGGTGACTTTAAGATTGACTACAACAAATGTAAAAGAAAGTTCACTATTATACTAGTGAATAGTCCGCAGGAAACACTGTAAGAGGAATGTGGTGAAGAGGTTTTGGAAGACAACTGTCTGAGACCTCTGCTAAAGAGTGGTGCCCCTCCCCTTGTGAAAGTATACTTGGTCTCTTATCCCACCTGAAATGTTGGGTTGAGCCGTATTGACATAAATGTTCTGAATTGCTTTATATCAACATTGATGATGTGTGTGCTCCAGCAATACTCAATAAACACTGTCACACTCCTTTCTTCTCTATGCTGTGGCTTCTTTTTTTCTAGTAGACAAAATGAGTGTCTTCTTTGTTTCTTGCATTTTCCTGTTCTTTATTCTGTTTTCTGGAAATAAGCAAACCTGTCTACCTCAGCGTATTCTGCAACTTAACCAGTTTTCTGTCTTTCTGTGTGAGTTTTAACCCCCCCAAAAATCTTCCATTGCTCTGTATTCTGTTTTTCCAGATAAATTATATTGCTCTGGTAATGCCTGATGTCCTCATTCAAAAGGAACTTACGAGATTTCTCATTTTTACTGTCTTGTTCTGCCACATTTTTCTCATTACAAAAATGACTGCCTATGTTTTCATCAGTTGCCCACTTCTTAATTTATGGTATATTTACTCCTGCTTCCTTTTGCTGTACTGTACTGTAGTTACATGTACTCCTTGTACAGGTTGGGTTGTGCATCTCTTAAAGCAGCAGGTTCTCAGCTTTGGGATACTTTGGGATCCAACACTTAAATTAGAAATTCAAGAAGGTATGGTGGCCTGATACCTGTTTTGCCAACTACTTGTACTGTCAAACTAGATGATATGTTTAGTACCTACTTAGAAGACATGTTGGCTCAAGAAATGCAAACCATGTAGTATATTTTTTGCTCCATAAGACACACTTCCAAAACCATGTAGTGTATTTTTTGCTCCATAAGACACACTCCCCCCCCCCAATTAGTGGAGGAGAAAGTATGTGCGTCTTATGGAACGAATACAGAAAAAAGGGGTTCCACCACCACCACCCAGAAACCCCCTACTGTCATGCTGGGAGGCCTCTAGAGACTGCTTGCTGTTTGGACCCCACCATTCTGCACTGCTGGCTTTCCAGTATCTGCTTTCTGCAGCCCACCTGGAAAACCAGCAAGGCTAACAGGCCTATGGTAGCAGGCAGTGAAAATAGCCAAGGACCAAAGAATAATTCTAGAAAGAACAGGGGGAACCACATAGTCCCCCACTTAGCCAGTTGATTTTCCCCACATTTGGGAAAATCACAGGGGTCAGCACATCCAGAATGCAATAGATGAGCCTTACCCCAGGAAAACCACTTTTACAACAGTGGTATCTCCCCTGCCAAGTATAAGTTGGAATCCCCCCTAAACCACCTGTCCCTTTCTGTGCCCTGTCCCCCAAAGGCATGGTGACCTCCGGCTGCACCTGATCAGAACAGGGCTGCACAGCCCCAGTCCCAAAAGAGGCCAAGAGAGCTACTCAGTGTTTTGGGGTGCCCCACAGGACCCCCATCGGGCTGGATATTCCACAATCCTCCAGTGCACAGATATTAGCATACCTAATATGGGGGGAAGGCAGGAAAAGCGGGGAAATTCAAACTTTCAGTTAGTGAAGAGGCTGCTTGTCTGCTTCCTTGCTAGTAGTTAGCTGGGAGAGAGACCTGGGACTGCCTGGTATTGTCGTTTTAAAATATAAAATTTAGTTTAAAAGCTGTTTGGGGTTAGTGCTTGGGTGAAAAAGTGCTCCGTTTGAGTTGAAACCTGCTTGTGTAGAAATGTGCATTCCTGTCTTTAAAATCTGCTAGTTTTACTTTAAAAGCTGTTTGTTTTGGGTTACATTGTGCTTGGGTGAAAAGGTGCTCCATTTGAGTTGAAACCTGCTTGTGTAGAAAAAAGAAGGGTCTACCAGCATCATCTTCAACACTCTCCAGATGGCTTGTCTCCACAATCTCTCTTGCTTATGAGCTCCACCATAAGACTCCACCTGAACGACTCCGGGCTCATTCCACCAGAGCCATGGCCTCTTCTACTGCCCTCCTTCATGGCGTTGATCTGCCTGACATCTGGACTGCCACTTGGTCTAATGTCTCCACCTTAATCGCTCACTACAGACTAGACCTGAGGGCCAAGGAGACAAGTTTCGGGAGAGCAGTGTTGACATCTGTCCTCCAGTGACATCCCACCATCCAGTGAGTAAGCATGCTAATCACCCTTTTGTGTGCATTCACAGAAGACCACGATGAAGAAAGAGAGGTTACTTACCTGTAACCATGGTTCTTCAAGTGGTCATCTGTGAATCCACACAAAAGGGGTTAACCCAGTGCCAGCGTTGGTCCTCTCAGAACATTCTCAGGCTTTAAGAGAAAAGTAACAAGTTTAAGGCTGCCTATATCACGCATGCTCCACCCACCCCAGCCTCAGTTCCATTTATCCACCACAGGTATCTGAGAATGAGCTAGATATAACCAGTGACAGATAGAGGGGAGGCAGGATGGGATTGTGTGGATTCACAGATGACTACTTGAAGAACCATGGTTACAGGTAAGTAACCTCTCTTTCTTCATCGTGGTCTTCTGTGAATGTACACAAAAGGGTGATTAGCATGCTTACTCACTGGATGGTGGGATGTCACTGGAGGACAGATGTCAACACTGCTCTCCCGAAACTTGTCTCCTTGGCCCTCAGGTCTAGTCTGTAGTGAGCGATTAAGGTGGAGACATTAGACCAAGTGGCAGTCCA